TGGCAACTCGGGAAATAGACATGATTTTTAATCCACTTTAAATACTTAAACTTTTTAAAATAGAATAAAACCTCGTAGAAAAAAGAATTGCACACCAAGTGAACGCCAAATAAAGATGTGCATAATAGTGCGCAACATTATTAGTACTTTATAAATTTACGTGCGTTTTTTTGGGAGATATCGGAAATAGCGTAAATTAGTACTTCCTGTCAACGGAAATTACTCAAAATTTGACAGAAGGCAGAGAATTAGATCTTTTACTTACATGTGAAATTTCATTTATCTATCTGAAATAGTACTCAAGTTATAGTCTTTTGAAAAATTCAAAGTAGAAAAAGTACCACTTTCGGTTATCGGAAATCGCTCAAAAGTTTATACGGATCTACGATTTTGATAAAATACTTATATATGAAATTTCATCAACCTAGCTGTAACGGTACTCAAGTAATCGTGTTTACACACAGACACACACAGACATACGGACAAGATTGCAAAATTATGTTTTTCCGTATCAGTGAGGTGTAAAACGTCGAGATTTGTAAAAAAATCTCGATTTTTTTGCACGATTGCAAGACTTTCTCTATACTTCGTATATACGAGAAAGTAAAAATGCAGTTTCAGGGGAACGGCGGAGGGGGTTATGTGTTGAGGTGTGGTGTTTTTAAAGAGAGTGGTGGTGGGGGGGGGGGGGGAAGCGAAGATCTGGCTTTTTGTGAAAATGTGTTACAATTAGAGAAGGGGGGTTGGGCGCAAAATCGTCTGAAGAGTGAGTCGTCGTTAATGGGTGACCACTTTATGATTGTATATTGACGTCACCATCATTTTGGGCGGTGGCAATTTTATCAAAGGAGTTATTACAGATGATACACGGTTGTATTTATTAGAAAACATCTGGTGTCCTGAAGAACTTTTTAAATTTCCAGCAAGCGGACAAAGAAATTTAAAGTTTCAATATTCGTGGCTACTTAGGTGGAACTGGTTGACTTATTCCAAATTACTTGATGGCGCATTTTGCAAATATTGTGTTTTGTTTAGTTTGAATTATGGTGGTGTAGGTAGTCAGCCTTTAGGTAAGTTATCAAAAATTCCATTTTCAAACTGGAAAAAGGCAACAGACAAGTTTAATGAGCACCAGCAATGTGAATATCATAAAAGAGCAATTTTACTTTCCCAAAATCGTAAATCGGTTATGGAGAAAAAAATAGAACCTATTAACATCGCCTTGAACTCATCATTAAGTCAACAAATTCTAGAAAATCGTTTAAGGTTAGCGCCCATAATAGAAGCTATATTTTTTTGCGGCCGACAAGGTCTTGCACTTAGGGGGCACAGGGATTTCGGAAATTTTCAGTTGGAGGATCCTGACGAAAATGATGGAAATTTTCGAGCTCTTTTAAGATACAAAGCCATGGGTGGAGACGAAACACTTAAACATCATCTAGAAAATTCTTCAAAAAATGCAAGATACTTAAGCCCCACCATTCAGAATGAAGTGATAAATGTGTGCAATAAATTAATTGTTCAAAAGATTGTTGTGAAAATTACTTCTGTTAAATTGTTTTCTGTCTTAGCCGATGAAACTAGTGATATAGCTGGTATGGAGCAATTTTTGTTGTGTGTTCGCTACTATGATAACGACATAAAGAAAATAAGGGAGGATTTCCTACAGTTTGTAGGTGTAACTGATCTAACAGGCAAAGGACTTGCAAATGTTTTAATGGACACTCTAGCAAATTTACACATGGACGGTAATTTTATGATAGGTCAAGGATATGATGGAGCCGCTGCAATGAGTGGTCGACTTCATGGGGCGCAACAATATGTTGCTGAGAAATTTGATTTGGCTATTTACGTGCATTGCGCATCTCACAGTCTAAACCTAGCACTTTCTGATGCCTGCGAACTACCAGCTGTGAGAAACTGTATGGGAATCCTTAATAGTACATACAACTTTTTTAACACACCAAAACGACAATCTTTGCTTGCAAATTCAATAGAGAAATTAACACCTAAAGCATCAGCATCTCGACTTAAACGATTGTGCGCAACCAGATGGATTGAGCGTCATGAGTCTGTCAACGTTTTTGTACAGCTTCAAAAAGCAACTGTTGATGCACTGGAAATTATGTCATCCTGGCACGATACAACAACTTCTTCAACAGCGGTTCAACTTTTAGGAGCAATTAGGAGTCTTGAGTTTCAAGTTTCTCTTAGAGTTATCTCAAAAATCTTTGCAATAACACTTCCTGTCAGCAGAATACTCCAAACAGAAAACTTTGACCTATCTGCGGCTCTAAAATTTACAGAAGATTCAAGTAGCCTACTAGTGAATATGCGGAAGAATGCTGAATCAGAATTTACTACCGTATTTAATGAAGTCAAAGACATTTGTGAGGACTTCGACATAGATATACTTATTCCACGTCGAGCTGGAAAACAAATTCAACGCTGCAATGTTATGGCAAATACGCCTGAAGAGTATTACAGAATAGCTGTATTTATTCCTTTCCTTGATTCGGTTATATGTCAAATAGGAGACAGATTGCTAAAACATAAATCTGTTTTGAGAGGTTTTATGTGTCTTTTACCCAATGACTCGGGTTTTACCAAAGAACAGGAAAAGAATGCCATAACACTTATGCAAAAATATGAACGTTTGATTAACAGCAGTGTCATCTATGAAAGCATTGGATAACTGAAACTGTGGTGGCGCCACATTATTACAAGTGGAAATGTACCGCAAAACGCTCATCAAGCTTTTTTAATGTGTGACGTAAAAATATTTCCAACAGTACACAAACTACTGCAAATATTTGTAACATTGCCTGTAACAACTGCCGTTAGCGAACGCTCTTTTTCCACTCTCAGACGGCTAAAAACGTACTTGCGAAATACTACTTGCGAGGATAGACTAAATGGATTGGCATTATTAAATATTCACCGACAAATTGAAATTTTAGCGGATGAGGTTCTTGATGAATTAGCCAAGAGTCCAAGAAGACTTGAACTACGATTATAGGTAAGTAATGTTATAAGTACTTTTATCTGTTTGCTGTGTTCTAGTACTGTTATTGCGTCTATATATATATATATATATATATATATATATATATATATATATATATATATATATATATATATAATGGTGGAAAAAATTGGAACCCCCCCCCCCCATGAGACGATCCTGGCTACGCCACTGGTCTCAACACAAAATGTAAATGGCAGGGAACATTCACTCATTGCTCAAGAAGCCAATGAAATTACAGCATCATTGTCCAAACTGAAAGAGGTGATTGGTTGAGTTTTATAGTGGTTGACCCCTACCCTTGTGTTTGTTATTGGTCCTTCATCTTCTGTCTTAGCTCCTTCCTTGGTTCAATTTTAATTTATGCAAATGTGATAAATTTGAAGCCAGGCGTTGTCAAATGCAACTCTTGTACAATATTTGTGTTTAACTTATTAAAAAAACCGGGAGTGATCTCCCCAAAACTTTCTCGAATATTCTTATATAAAAAAACAGGGGATGGGAACTCGGGCTATAGACATGATTTTTAATCCATTTTAAATACTTAAAGTTTTTAAAATAGAATAAAATCTCGTAGACAAAAGAATTGCACACCAAGTGAACCCCAAATAAAAAAGTGCATAATAGTGCGCAATATTATTAGTACTTTAAAAATTTACATTAGTTTTTTGAGAAATCGGAAGTAGCGTAAATTACTACTTCCGGTCAACGGAAATTACTCAAAATTTAACAGAAGGTAGAGAATTAGATCTTTTACTTACATGTGAAATTTCATTTATCTATCTGAAATAGTACTCAAGTTATAGACTTTTGAAAAATTCAAAATAGGAAAAGTACCACTTCCGGTTATCGGAAATCGCTCAAAAGTCGATACGGATCTACGATTTTGATAAAATACTTATATATGAAATTTCATCAACCTAGCTGTAACGGTACTCAAGTAATCGTGTTTACACACAGACACACACACACACAGACTGACAGACAGACACAGACATACGGACAAGATTGCAAAATTATGTTTTTCCGTATCAGTGAGGTGTAAAACGTCGAGATTTGTAAAAATCACAATTTTTTTTTTGCACGATTACAATACTTTCTCTATACTTCGTATATACGAGAAAGTAAAAAAGGAATGTTTTTAAATCACAAAAACGTAAGAAATCTACTTTCTATGTAAATATTTCAAGCTTTATTCGTAGTTGCTGATTATGTTTTCTTGTCCAAGTATTTGAGATTATTTTATTGAACTTTTTCAATTCAATAATTAAAACAAACAAAATAATATCATATTTTTATAACAGTATGTTAAATATTTATAGACAAATGAGTTTATGGTGGAGAGCATGCTTCAAAAAATATTGCTACAATAGGATGTGAATATCAATCAACAATATATTTTCTAAAATAAAAATGTTCCTTTTTCTTAAATACTTAATTTAATTATATATTAACTAAACAAAATTGATTAAAATGGTTATATCCTCAAAATACATTTAATTGCATATTTTTTCTAATCAAATTTCCCCCAAACTATCTTCCTTTTTGTGCCCTTGAAGTTTCAAAACACATTGCAGAGACTTTTCTTTATTTAATAGTAACAAAGTATTTTTCTTATGTATGTAATTTCTTTGTGAGTTTTGGAGCAAAAATCTTTTATTTGTTATTGTATACACAGATAAACATCCAACTTTATATCATTGTTTAGTGACATCTTTGCTTTTAAACTTTTCATCAAAAGTTTTTGCTAAACTTTTGTCTAAAGACTTCTCAATGCTGATTTTCTTGAGATATTTTAAGACTAATTCTGAAAATGGTATTGTTTTCTATTCCTACAGAATCTGTTTAAATTTCTAAACTAATTTATGTATCATTATATTAATTATCCAGTTAAGTTTTTTTTTCCTATATTCTTGACTCAAACTCTTGCTTTTTTTCCCAACTTGTTTTTTCTTTACCTTGCAGATTATTTAATATGGACAATTTTACATTTTTTTGGGTAAAGCTGAAATAAAGTGTACAGAACTTATAGAATACTTTTTAGGGCAATTTTTTGTGTGCTAAATTTAATTTGAATTGTGCAGATTTTACATAGAGGTGAATAACTTGGTTGTGGCACTTCATACCTGAATGTACCAGTTGTGGTAAAAGTTTATAGATGTATTTTTAAATAGAGCTAGTTTATAGCTTTATATCTAAATGGAATCTGTTCATAGCTTAACATTTTAATGTTACCAGGTCTATAGCAATAATTTTTAAATGACACCAGTTTTTATCATTTCTAAAAGATGCCTAAATATTTTCAGTTTATCCATTGTTTTAGTTTCATATATTATTTGCTTTCATATTATTTAAATATATTTTATTCAACAATAGAGAACAACACAGGTGAAGATAACTCAGAAAACAATTAGATTTTTTCAAATTTAAAAAAAAAAACGTTGATATGTAGGCCTAATCCTTTTTTTTTTGTTACATTGTTTTACAAGTGATTTTTGTTATAAATACTTACAAATAGTTCTGAATTTCAACAGTGATACACTAGCAATTATAAAGTGATTCTACGATTAATGCTGTGGTATAATTAAATGGTTGCATTAAATTAAATTCAACCTTATTGTGTAGGCCCAGACTCAAATTTTGTTTCTATATTTATCTTTCTTTATGCAGCTAAACTCTGAATTTTCTGGAGGACTTAGACCAGAACAAGCTTCAGCACTGACAGGCCTGGTTGACAGGGCTGACACACGTACAAGATCACCACTGTCTCAGAGGTTACCTGTGGGGGCACAGAGCCCCTTTAGCTCCCCCAGGGCGTCCCCTATACCCTCCAGACGGTCGCCATCACCTCGTAGGTTTGATGTTGGTTTTGCATCTGCAGTAGATAATATCTGTGAGCAAGCTCACACTATTGCAGACCAGGATAGACAAAAGAGATATGGTTTGTATTTCATTTTTTTCGTTTAAAATCCATTTACATCTTTTACGTGATTTAAAAAAAAAACAGTCATACTTATTATTTAAATATTCATTCACGTTCCTTACTAGATCCATATGTTGTATTAAAATATTTTAAAATAGTTTAAAAAATAATAAAACTACTTGAACAAAAATGGAGCTTCTATAGTAATTGTTTTGGTTATATTTACCCTAATTTAAATTTATTTATTCTCTTGTTTATTTAAGTTTAATAATATGATGTATTGTATTAGTAATAAAAATCTTTTCACAAAAAAACATCTGGCTGTGAAGGATGCAATGACCTTCATTTTTTTATTGCAGGTATGAAAACACCTAGACGTGGATCAACCAGTCTTGTTCAACACTCCAGGTCCCCTTCACCCTCAATAACAGCTGACAGCCCGCCAATGTCAAACAGAGCACACCGGCGTCTACCAATGGCACCGTCCTCGAACTTTCCCAGGTCAAGTGCATCAGACACACGTGTTCCTAAACTCAACATCCCAGTTTCAGCCACATCTTCCGTTGCTGCTGCATCGCCCCTTCCTAAGCATCAACGCCATGCCCCTCCGCCAGGGAGGCTAGGCAGATCTGAGCCATATAGTCCTACAGAAAGAAACAATTTGAATAAAAGTTCTGACCCTTCAAGGTCTAGCACACTCCCAGGTGATCACAGAACTAGTAGTTACCCCCGTGATGATTCAAACTGGGGTTCTAACAAAAGGGGTAGAGATTCTCGGTCCCTTCCTAAGCCTTCTCCTAGACAGTCATCCAGGTCACCTGACCCGCAAGCTGCTGAGAGAGATAGACAAGACCACAGATTTATGGCAGCCAGCCAACAAGAGGGGAGCCGTACAAGAGGGAGCAGATCAAGGGGAGGAATTTTACCAAACGGTTTCAAACAAAAGGGACGTAAGCCAGACAAATATGAAATGCGGAGCGACAGTCAGACAGCGCTTCAAGAAGATTCAGATGAGGATTGGTGTTGATACATGTGGATAATTAAACCTTTTTCCCAACCCTTCTTGACCATCATGCTCTATACAACACCAAATAGTTTTTGTGAGATTGAGTCCTTGTATCTTGCAGCACAAGTTCCTATAAATATACTTTATTTGTTTCTTACTTTTACTATCAAACTGCACAATTTTTTAAAAAATACCGTTTATTGATGTTGCTTTTGAATTTAGTTTAAATATTTTACTGATGCATTACACTTTGCTATTTTTAGTTATTTTTACTTATACAAACTAGCCAAAGTGAATAGTGAATGAATATTCTTTTATGTGAACTCCTGTTCAGTCTATTGGCTGTCCTGCCTTTAGTCTGTTCTGCATGTGAGCTGCTTGCCTCAGGGCTGTCATGTACAGTTGCCCATGCTTCAACAATAGTATTCATGTTACTGATTCAACTTGTTTTTAAATATAAACAAAGTCTAACTGCCATGAATTTAGCAGGCTACTCTAATAGCCTTTGTAGTCTTACTCATTAAATGTTTTTTAGTTAAAAAAATATTGTGATTTGTATGTATTTAACTAAATTTATTGTGGAATAAGAGTGGATTGTTTTGTGATAAAGATATATGTTTATTTTGTTACTCGAGGTTTTTAATAATTTTGGAATAAGATACAGCTTACTTAACAAAGTCTATAATTATTTTTAAACTATTCTAAAAAGTATTTGATATGAACTTGAAATTCATTAATAGGTAGCTAAATTGTTAATCTTTATAAAAATATTTGGGTTTTGTTTTTAAAACGAGGTGTCATAAATATTATTCTAGTTATTGTGTAGTTAGGTTTATTAAAATGAATATTTATAATGTCTATTTGTAGAACAAAGCATTTGAATCTATAAATAAATTATATGAAATTCATTTTAACAACTTATTCTGATGATTTGATATGCATTACATTAAAGAGAGTTTGACTAAACTAGGCCAACTGTTTTTTAAAAAAATGATATTTGTTACATTTTTTATTATTAATTTTTAATTATACTCTAGCCAGGTGTTTGGATCTAAACTGAAAGCTAAGCAAAAAAAACACGTTCAGACACATTTTAAAAAAAACAACTTCAAGGTAATTTCGAAAACATGTAATTAAGAATAAATTAGCATACTTGAGCTAACATCACCGTTATTAAAATGTAATCTGTTTCATATTGTCTTTTGTGCTAAAATGTAAACCTCTTGTCTTTAATGTTTCATTTAAGACAATGAAAGCATACCATTTAATTTCCATAACTGCAATATTAATAACTGTACATAATACCCTTCCAATTCTTGTGATAATTATTTCATTCACTTAGATGTAACCAACATGTTTATTTTTAATTATCCCCCTTTTATCTTGTGATTGATTTTTTTTTATTTTTAAAAAATAACTTGCATTTGTCCTGAATGTCTGTTGTTAGTAAACTGTGTAAAAAAAACATCTTTTTAAAAAGCTGTATTTTTTGCATTGTATAGAATTTCTTTTTAAATGAAATAATTTTAATACATGATAAATTTCATAAATTGATATGCACAAATGAGTAAACTAATAAAAACAGTTATTGTCAGCAAGTTCATTATTTCCTTTTACAAAATTTGAATCTTTTTTTTGTAAATTCCAATTCTCATTTAAAAATGTATCCCCTTTTGTCACAACTAATCCCATTTTAATATTCCATTTCTAGTAACATGTTTTGTTCAGATATGATTACTACAAAAATAGCTGTGTACATTTCCTATACCTATCATTATATATGTATGAATTGGGTGTACTACATCCAGATCAGGCTGTAGCATTGTCTTGAAACATGTTTCACTTAGAGCATTTAAAAATTTAGGGATTTTTCATTAGGAAGATTAACATAAATGTTATAAAACAATTCAGAGATTATACCTTAGAGATATAATCTGTATGATATCATCATTTTATATTCAATGTATTTTCTTAAATTTATTATAGGCTAATATCCGATATTACTGGCAGTTTATATAAATACTATTGTTTATAGATACAGTCTTAATGGTTTGAAATTAAAGGTAGTTCATAACTAGTGTTTTCAACATATAGAACTGTAATGATAAGTAGATGTATGATAGGTCTGATGATGGCTTGTAAGCAAAATGCTGAAAGGTTGATTGCTTGAAAACTAACAAGTTTGAATGTTGATTGCTTGAAATACAAAAAAAAGCCCAAATACACTTATAAGACTAAACAGGATCTGAGGTAAGTGAGACTAGCTGTCAATTATAGCCGATTTTTTAAAAACTGGCTCTTTTCAAGGTATTGCTGATCAAACCCTACCAGACCATAAAGATCATATCCTTAAAATATTTATAAATCTAGATAAAATTAATTCAGGTTGGTGTGTGCATTCTGTGTCATGTGTTTTGCTGTAGTAAATGTTTGATTGCTTTGTATGTGAAGTTATAAAATGTGGGGTTGAAGTCGTCTGTTAAATGGGTTAACTTGCATGAATGGCCAGGTCTGTTGTAGAATCTGATCTACACCTCACTGGTTTGCATGTTGTCAGCATCTTCTTCTCATTTACCATCTTTTTTTTCTGATTCATAATTTAAAATGGACCTTGTTTGTTGCTTGTTAAAAATATACAATAAAACAAAAGATAATTAACTCTTTGAACTAAAAACATTTTTTACATCGATTTTTATTTATCTAACATACTAACTATATAACTTCTTATCTCATATTTTTTACTATTGATATAACTGTTTCTGTGTCATCAAATATTTCTTTTGATTCATATTTTATTGGTGTTTTTTTGTTATAAATTGTACTATAAATTTTATGTGTTTTTTGTTATTACAAATGTGTGATAATAAATGTGTATTGTTTTATTCAATACAAGTAGATAGACTTGTAATTTTGATTAGGTGTTTTTTTACTTGGGCAATTGTGCACAAATTCATTGGAAATTTTTTATTCCAAATTATCTTTACAAAGTTGCAACTTAGTCTTTACTTTAAATTCCAGAACTTTACAGCTGTTTCTAAGCATTTTAACAAGATTGCTAGATGTAAGCTTTTAAATGTTGTATAGCTTTAATAGAAAAGTGTAATTAAGTAAACTTTTTAATTTTATGCTTTCTTTCTTAAATATTATTTTTAAACTTTTCTTTTAGTAATTAAACATAAAATTAAAATGATATAGTCTTGAATTTGAAAAATTCTGAATTTAAAGAATTGTAGTACACCTTCCTAGACATAAGCTTTATCATGATAGTTCATTAAATTTTCAATTTAAAAAGTCAGTTTATGTAAAGTAATCTTTAAAAATTGAAATGGCTATTCACTTTTTTAAAAATGTCCTACACTTTTAAATTAACTCAACAAATACAAAAGGTTAAATAACTTTTTTGCATGTAAAAATAAATGGAAAAAATCTTTAAAAATATTTCTTTATTAAACTTGACATAATAAATGCAAATTGATATTACAGCTTTACTCACACACATTGTATGTCTTCATGGCTGGCCATGCATACATTGAAAATCCGGGTTTTAAATATTTTTTTAAAAGTAGCAATGTTGATATAGATATTTGCAATCAAATGGCAAAGGTCTGTGATGCTCAGTGAGTGAGATTTCCGTGATTTTGATCTATTAGTTCTTTGAAATCTTTATTTATTTCTGTAATTGACAACATTCTGTGATTCTGATACCGTTGAACTTATTATGTAAAACTAATTTATTTTACAAGTTTTAACCACCTTTCAAACAAATTATTTTGTAGATAATTTTAATTTTTCTCTTTCTCTATATGGGCATAACCATCTAAGTAATGTTCATAAGCCAGCCATTCTACAACAGGATGAAGAGTTTTGACGTTCTTACATTCATGCTGCTGTTTATTTATTGGGTGTTCACTAGCTTTAAAGCTTTAACATGTAGTGCACTTTATTTATAATTTTTTTTTCCATTGTGATTTGATTACCTCAAAAATTCTGTTTTGAAAATACATGAGCATAAAAATGAGTTGTTTTGATATTTTAAAAATTAATGAACTTTTCCTTTGTTCCTAGTGCCTTTTGTTTTACTTGTTGCTCAGTGCAAAAAAATGGCATACTAGTATTTAATTAATTACATAGGTTTCTAAACTTGTTTTGTTCATGAACGCTGTGCATAAAACAGTTATGTAAATTAAATACTGAAAACATACTTCCAAACTGATAAGTTATGTTTATTTAATGTTCTTGCCTTGCTTTTTTTATGATTTTCTCCCTTGTCAAGAGTTGTCTCTTCAGCTGTGGACCAATGGCTCAATCTGTTTGAAATGTTTTCTTGGAAGTAATTGTTTTCTTACTATTTCTCATTCTACAATTTTTTGTGATTTGACGTTTTTAATTTTCCTTTCGTTATAAACAATTTTATTTATTCATGAGATTAAAGATATGATCTCTTCTAAATAGTATTTGTGTCTTTTTATAGATGTTTCAGACCTATAACAACCAACATATAAAAACTTTTTTTTTTCCTTCACCTAACATGTAATTTGGCCGTAGTCATTAAATTATAATATTTAGTGGGTCATTCTTTTTTTTTTATATTTAGAAAAATTATTAATTTTTTATAACTTACAAATATTTTTTCTTGCACAATATCTGTGTTGTGGACATTTGACACATTGGTAAATTCTGAAATAATTTTTCTGCTCTCTATGTGGAACCTCAGCTCAGTCAAACAAGTGCTTGTTGTTCTTTTTTTACATTTTTTTTCACATATAATAGTAATAGTTCTTAACTGTAAAAGAAAAGCAACAGAAATGATACTCAATTTACATCATACTCATTTCACTTTTGTTATGAAGCCAAAATCATGTATAATGTGACAGCATTTTCTCTTTTTTTAAAATAAACCAATGTGCCAGTATGCATGATAATTTTGTCTTTAACGTTGCAAATTACCGCAATTGAAATACTGTAAATATTTCAGGATCTACATTAACTACATTACTTTCTATGGCGTGACTCAGTATTTTTTTCTTGGGAGTGAAAGTTTTTTTTAATCATCTACCACCTTAAGAACTCCTAGTTTTTACAAGCTTTTATTTAACTCACTTCCTCTGTCGTCAGTCTAGATCAAAACGCAGGAGTGAAAATTCGGACACTTCTACTTGACCAATACGATTCACATTTGACACGTGGGTCAAGACATGAAGACAATGCAATCTGAAATTAAATTAGACTTAATTGGATGCCTAATTAATTTTTATGAATTAATTAAAATTTGGACAGAATTAGTAGGCATGTCTATCCAACCACACCACATGCGTCATCACGTTCAATAGCTGCGCCATCATGTTCAATAGACGCGCAATGGTTTTTAGTCATGTAAATAAAACATGTAAAGTACTGAAAAAAAATACTGAAAAAAAATTTCATAAAAAACGTTTTAATAACCAGCATTTATGTAATGATGACTAAAAAGTAGAAAATAAATTATAGACTACTATTTAAATTACTATAAAGAAAAGCGTGGGTCTCTTCTCAAATAAGGTATCCAATAGGTACTAAATTACTAAAGTGACCCACGCTTTTCTTTATAGTTATTTAAATAGTAGTCTATAATTTATTTTCTACTTTTTAGTGCATTATTACATAAAAGCTTGTTATTAAAACGTTTTTTTATGAAATTTTTTACAGTGACTTATTACTTTTACTGTTGGAAGCTTATTCCATATTTTGTTTTGTTCTTTATTTGTCCTCCCTCCTTTAAAATATTTATTTCACCGTTATGTTTTTTTCTCTCTTATCTGTCATTGTATGTTTATTTTTTATGATGTTATTTTATTGCCTTCAAAATAAAAATAAAACATTTTAAATTTTCTTGTAGTTAAGAGTATTTTTTTAATTTGTTGATTTTTTTTTTAAATTATAAGATTGAAAAGTGATGTAAATGCATGGTAAAAAAAAAAACTCAGATAAACATTTAAAAAAAAAACACACAATAAACTTGGTGTTTTAGGACAATAAAAACAAACTCAAAAGATTAAAACATTTAAAATTCTTTTTTAATATGGACAAATATGCTGGAACCAATTTTTTAAATTGAATAACGTAATAAAATTAATGATGACACCATTTATAAATAATTTGTGTTAATGAAAAAAAATACTCTCATTACAAAATTAGTACGTAAATTTAAAAAATTATGATTACAAATGGAATGCTCTCCATGTTAAAAGGTTAACAAACAATAACAAAAAATCAGTTGCAAGTATTGGTAGTTAACTACATATATATACAAAAGGAAATATAATGAGTAGTTCTGAAATATTTGCACATTTTTTTCTAACTTGTCATAAAGTTGATCACACATCATTGTTGAAATAATTTGTGTTTATGCTTCAGTTCTTTGTAGCAATTTATAAATAAACACATTTAATCCTAGGGATTCAACTTACAGGAATGTGATAAACAAAAAATTGTGACAGGATTATAGAACATGATAAAGCAAATTGAGGAATTCTGATTGGAAATATGTATTATGTACATAAAAGTTATCTTATTAACACCTGCAAAGTAGACAATATCTACAATACGTTTTAGAGAATGAAGTATTGTTTACTTAGAATCAATTGCAAAATTCCATATGTATATTTTATACATAGATTTTTAAATGACATAGAGCACCTGAGAGGCGGAGTCTGACTTTTTGACATGACAAAACTGGGGAAGGAGCGCTGTTGAAAAGGGACTTGAACTGTATGATGTTAGTTATGGAATGGACAACACCACAGCACATTAGTGGATTTAGTATGAAATAAAACTAATACGAGAAAAGATTTTAATGAGTCAAAATGACTTCTTTTAAAGCAGATTTAAAAATGTGTTTAAAAAATTACAAATATTGTAATCAGCCATTAAATATTGCACACAAATCAAACACAAGAAGGTTTTTAAAATGATCTAAAACTATCTTGAGACAACAGTCATTTAAAAACAATTGGTAGACAGTTTTTAGTTGAAAAAAAAAACATTACACACATACTGTTTAAATTTAGCCAGGTCATAATTATTCAATGTATGGTATTTCTAAAGACCTCTAAAAATAGCTAATGGTAGCCTCAGAGGCACTTCTAAAAATATCTAATGGCAGCCTTTATGGCACATCTAAAAATATCTAATCATGCATCCAAAGCTTTGGTAGGGCACGAACATCTCATACCCAAGACGAGCCGTAAATAGATAATACAATATTCAAGTACTAAATAACTGAATTTCATGTTTAAATGCTTATTGATTGGTGAGATAGATGATCAATTAAAAATATGAAAATTTAAATAGAAAACAACTTTCATACAGGAATATATTAAAATAAGATTACATTAGATAAATAACCTGACAAACTGTCATAATCATGGTTTTAAATAAGTTCATCATGCAAGTGCAGAATTTATTCATAAGCAATTTAATTTAGTTTCATGCAATATTAAAATGAATTAATTATTTTCTTTGGAATAAATAGAATGTACTTTACAGTTTGCCGTACCATCATTATATTACCTACTATAGTAAATAATTATATTTCTTAATCAACTTTACATCAATTTTGATCAGGTATTTTCCTTAAGTACAAAAAGTTTTACCATAAATCAGGTAGCGTGGAGCGGCCAGCCAAATTATGAACTTGCACAACTCAGGGTTTAGGTAAGATCTATTACTATAAAAAATGTACAATTGTTGATATTATGTATGTTATACATCTTATCTCCCTTTACAACTCAGACTAGATACTGTCAATAAAGTAAACAGAACAATGCAGGCAATCTGATCTTGTGTCAGTTATTGATTTTAAAAAGTCAATCAATACAACATAACCGTGAAAGATGAGACAGATTCAATAAGAGATTCTAATATCAGAACAGTAAGCAGTAATACAAAGGTAATTAAAGCTAGCTAAACCATAACCCATCTTGTTAGGATTTGGATCATTAAAAAAAATTATTTAAAAAAAAAACATTGGAATGCATTTCATTATACTTGAGGGGGAAAATGGCAGTCTTACATAATTACACTAACAGAAAAAAAGGGAAGTAATAAACGTCAGCATACAATCAAGTAGGCCTATGTGTAGTTTATTAACGCTACCATATTAAATTTCAATGTTAGTCAGAATTTTTTTTTAAAAATATAGTACAGATGGATTTAACTTACAAGTTAAAGTTATCACAAATGTTTTCCTATCCCTTAATTTTGAGCAATGTAAGCGTTGTGACTGTTGTCGCTTCATATTATATCACAATTATATCACATATTCTATACCTTATGAGTTATGAACTGTATTATGACATATGATCAAAAATGCATAAAAACAGATGGTAGTAGATTAAAATGATCTGTGTGGATGAAATGACTAGGTTAACTTGGGGGGAAAGTGGGACTAAGACTCAATCAATGAATATATTAAAAGACTAGACAGGAGGTCAAATGGAAGGATCGTTTTCACATGTTATCCAATGGCTGGCTATCACCGATCCGGTGTACTCTCCCTTGTGTGTCTTCTGCGCTCTCTACAGAATCTTTTGTGGGAGGGCCAATCTCTTTCTTGGCAAGAAGTACCACAGTATCTGTTGAGGCACAAGTTGTTTGTTTTGTTTTAATTTATGAGACCTTTCTGATAGCACTATAAGAAAAAGGAATGAATTGCAGATCTTTTGTGGGAGGGCCAATCTCTCTTGGCAAGAAGTACCACAGTATCTGTTGAGGCACAAGTTGTTTTTTTAATTTATGAGACCTTTTTCATAGCACTATAGGAAAAAGGAATGAACTGCAGAATCTTTTGTGGGAGGGCTAATCTCTTTCTTGGCAAGAAGTACCACAGTATCTGTTAAGGCAAAAGTTGTTTTTTTTTTAAATTTATGAGACCTTTTTGATAGCACTATTGGAAAAAGGAATGAACTGGTCAAGTGATAGCGACAGTAATGTCTAGATCTGATAGAGGTCTCCAGAAAAAATTAATACAACCAAGCTTTGTCGTGACCAATGTTCTCTTTACGCTGCACGGTTGCACAGTAGTTTTGAGCTACGCCGCAGTCATTTTGTAAAACACTTATAGTGTTGTAAAGACTTTAAGAACACTGACCACATAAAATACATGTTGTACACTAGTTTTTTCCCCTTTGAGGGACCGCTGGTCCTGACCACAACAACTCTTCAAGGGACAGTATGTTTGAGCCATAACACAGCTCTCCAAAACTTTAAGTTTGGTTCACTGACTAATATAAGATATCCCTGTACACAGGATCTTATGGATACCTGACAAGTTTAGGGGTTTAGAGTTGATCAAACTATCCATTTATCAGCTCAGGTTACCGAAGGTGAACTCTACACCAACTGCCCTGGGCAAAAAGAAGGACTATTTTTGTATACAACAGAGGCGTAGCTAACCTTCCCGGCGCCCGGGGACAAACCTTTCGATTTGCACCCCCCTCAACCTTTCAATTTATTTTTCCAACCCATTTTGGCGCCCCCTAAGGTCGGCGCCCGGGGACATATGCCCCCCCCCACTACGCTACTGGTATACAAACCCCTTTATATGAAGTGGTTACACAATACTCTAAACCTGTCTCTCTGGTTATTGGAATCCTGTTATATTGTATATGATTTTTATTCTACAAATATCTTAATTTTTACAAATCATATTGGATAAGTAATACAATATTTAACTCCATAATATTTTTAATGTATATGAATGATTACTATTCTACTTGTATTTTACATTATTACAAGATCATATTGGATAAGTACTAAAATATTTGACAACTTATGATTAAAAATTAAACAGTACTTTATTATATTTAAGCTGTGCTAATTAAAGGTAATGTTTTTTAAAATCAGTTTCCTAATCCCATGATTCTAGCCTCGATGTAAACAGCACCATCAGAGAAAAAAATTGTTTAAAATTGTAATATATAATTAAAGATAATTAAGTCACATTTAATTTCTAATGAAAACTGTAAGTGACCAACCTAACTTCCTGGCACCGCCCACATATACTGAACTCTCGCAGCTCTCTCTCCATCCTAGTGCATGGTGGGTAGTGACACTCATAATAGATGTAGCTCTCACCTGGGAAGAGGTAGAAAAAACTGCCTAACCACCCACCATATTAAGGCACTAAAGTTGTTGCTCGTTATATCTTAGTATTTGGCTCTAGTGTCCTAAATTTTAATTTACCTGCAGGATCTACAATGTCTCCATTGAAATCATACCACTTGTTCAAATGGTGGTAGTTCTAAACAATACATTAAAAAAAAACTTATTAGAACGGTAAATAGAAACAGCTATTATTTTTATCTTATTTAACAAATACACCTTTTTTCATAAAAGATAACTAAAATATAAAAGAATATAATAAAAGGTCAACTTTTTAAAATAAATGACCATCTAAAAATTCTAAACCATTTATAATCTGATGACAATTTTAACATCTGACTACATGTAGATAATTACACTTACCAAACGCAGAAAATCTGACCAACTGACATAATATAGAAATTCTAATATTCTGATTATATCAAAACGATTAAACATTTTTAAAATGTTATACAACTGGTCATATTTAAACGATTTAAATAAGTTTAAAAACTCTCATAATTTCCAGTGGGTCACCAAGCAGCTGTGTTACAGTAATCCAGTACAAACTGTTTTCCCGGTTTTTGGTCTGACCACCCGACCCCTCGTCTTGGTGATGGGACGACATATCCATCCCATCCTCTTTCACCAGCTCCAAGTTATCCAGGCGGTTATCCACTGTGACATGATTTTTGTGGACAACCCTCCAGCCTGGTGCAATCCCACCTTTATGCCTCTCCCTGAAAATTTGAAACGGTTAACATAACAGTGGACATCAAATGGATAGAAGATAGTATGGAGACAGAGCTAAAGTAGCTTGGAGTCTAGAAACAGAAGAGCAAAAGAGACAAGTCTGTGGAAGAATATGGTTTGTAGAGGCATAGGGATGTTTGAATAAATAACTTTTGTACACTCAACAGTGACAACAATATGATACATTGATTTTTCCTCTATAATGGTGAATATTAGAGCTATGGCATAAGATTTTAAAAAGAACCAACAAAGCAACATTATATTTAAAAACCAGATAATACTGGTAAATACTAGTAAATTTAAACTGTTTCAAAAGCCACTAGAATAGATAGGGGTAGGAATTCAAAGGCCAAGAGGATGCAAGGGAGGTCAAAAATGCAATGATCTTCTTTCAAAAGAAACAAGATAGAGGATGGATTTCCAGGGGCAGTGGGTTAGAAAAAAGACACCTATTGCGTTGTTGGCAAAGTGTCATCTCAATCCCTAGGCTCAGCAGAAAGCCAAAAGGAATTTTAAAAAACTCCTGCATACCAAATTACTTACAGTATATTTTTAAAAAAAAAACAGAAAGTCAGCCATTGAAAATGTATACATTATTGCAGAAGCCAGCATGCTAGCTAATGCTATCCCGTATTGATAAACACTTACCAAAGCAGCTCGTGAAGATATTTCCCGTAGTTTCGACTCTTTCCAATATCATGTGCAATGGCATATATCCGTGCCCCATTGCCATTTTTGTCCACTTCTACTCTTGGCTATAAGAAATTTGTAGAAGAAAAAAAAAAATGTTATACTATTCTATAAAATAATGTAGAGTTTTAAAAAAAAAGAATTCTTTAGCTACTTCTAGTCTTAGCTAAAAGAAATTTGTAGAAAAAAAAAAAAGAATTTTAATTGTATTCTATGAAATATGTTTTTGTGATGTGTTTAAAAATATATTTTTTTAACAAATATCAAAACTTTTTAATTTTTAATGAAGAAGGATTTTTGAAAATGGTTAATACACACATTAATAATTAAACAATCTTAAACTTTTTATTTTTCTGTTTTTTTTTAAAAACTAAAATGTTATGGAATGTTACGCCAACAATTCAGATACCTCAATGGCATGTTGTTGAACAATGCTAATATCCCTCTCATCCAACAAGGCATACTTCGACTAAATCAATATTGAAAGAGAGAAAAAGTTAGTTCTGTGGAAAACAAGGGAATTGAGAAAATATTTTGGGCTACTTCCCTTAACATTTACTGAAAGGTTAAGCAGTATACAATGCCCAAGCTTTAAATATGAATGCTGCCGGTACTAAATAAACTTCTTTATTTGTATTTGTGATTATGAATGAATTGTTGAAGTAGTTCGTCCCCAGTCACTGTGACCAGATTCTTCTAGACTCTAGGTTGTAACAATGCAGTGTTTTTTTCATCTATCCAATCTACACCAATTTGTATAGTCTCAAAAACTCATTATTAAATATTTTAAAAATCATGTACGCTGTTATTTAAATATGATACTTATAAAAACCTGACTATTTGGTTTTATCAGACTTTACTAAAGATTGAATGTATTTATGTTTTTAGTATTTTTGATAACTATACAAAATTTAAAGAAAAAAAAGCCTAAACAATTTTGGGTGTTTTCAATTTGTCACTGAAAATCTGCAAGGTTTTGAGTACAAATTACTTTAAAGCGGGGTTTTTAGAAGATCAACCACAGAAACTTACATTAGGTTGGTTAGTTAGACAGTTAGGCCTAGATAGAATCTAATTTTGCAACTAGATCTAGTCTAATAATTTAGTCTATTGGACATCAATGAATTAATAAGAATCCTTCCATCATAATTGTTGGCAATGATAATAATCAATTGTCAATTTTCAAAATATTTTGCATTTATATTATAGGGGCTGTAAAATAAAAAAAAAATTTTTAATAGACCTATAATAGGGCAAATGCCTACAGATTATATTGGCCTATGAAGATTGGATGGTAGGACAATGAAGAATTCTTAGTAAGAAATGATGAAAAATATAGATTCTAGATTTAGAATCTATATTATACTCACTAGGCTAAATGAAGATAATCTAGATCTAGAATAGAAACATACTCTTCTAGCAATCTAGGAGAGGCCTAGAATCTCTACTCTAGATACACTAGAAAGATTTTTATCTAGAATCTAGATCTAGCGAGATAGAATACATACATAGTACATAGATATATCTAGATTTCTTCTTCTTCTTCGTTCTTAATTTTTAGTGTTGGAAAGGATCGAGCCTTATCTGCCAGAGGGTTCGAACTCGAGACTTTTTAATTTTAACAACCATGAGCTTTTTGCTGACTCGACCACGCCTCTAACACAAATAAGTATACATGTCAACTGGTTATGCGCCATTCAGGCCATTGACTCAGATTTCAGCCTGCTCTATAAGAGTCCTTTCATATGACGTCACGTCCGTTCGCGATACCTACGCCCGCCGCCACGGTGGTGTACACGAGACGTAAACACAATCAGCTGTTCACCAGCGCTGGACGCGTTCACTGTATGTAAAGAACCGCACCCGCGGAAAAGGAAAAATACGTTAAAAACTTGAACTCTTAGGAATTGAAGATCCTTATACTGTTATTGACAGTTTCGTGTATAATATAAATATGTGGCCAAAATTTCTAAATAAATATACCGTTTGTAATACTGTTTGCGTATAGAGTTTAAGTAAACGAATCTGGTCAAATGCAGTAATATATTATAGGCTATATAGATCTGGTTAATGTAGATTCTAGAATCTCTGTTAAGTACAAGATTTAGTAGCAATAGATATAGTACAACCACACTACTGACAGTAGCAAACTGTAGTACTGTAGCAAACGTGAGACCACTTAACTCCTACAAAACCCACACTACTAATATATTATTATACACGAAACTGTCAATAACAGTATAAGGTCACTTGTTTGCAAGGACTCTATTTGGATTTGCTTCCAAAGCCTTTGTCCAACCAAGAACAAACTACAAGGCAGCAGTTGTTTGATTTTAGAGATGTCTCTCCAAGAAGAGTGGCTGTCCCCAGCTAACGAGCCTCATCTACCCGATTGTTAGAACTCGAGACTTTTCCGACTCAACCACGCTGACCCCCAGATCTAGATTTAATATTTAAAGATCTTTCTTTAGGCCTACTTTCTTTTATCTCCTACAAAACCCACACTACTAATATATTATTATACACGAAACTGTCAATAACAGTATAAGTATAAGGTCACGTGTTTGCAAGGACTCTATTTGGATTTGCTTCCAAAGCCTTTGTCCAACCAAGAACAAACTACAAGGCAGCAGTTGTTTGATTTTAGAGATGTCTCTCCTAGAAGAGTGGCTGTCCCCAGCTAACGAGCCTCATCTACCCGATTGTTAGAACTCGAGACTTTTCCGACTCAACCACGCTGACCCCCAGATCTAGATTTAATATTTAAAGATCTTTCTTTAGGCCTACTTTCTTTTATCTCCTAACTAGATCTAGAATATCAGCTATCTAGATTTCTAGTCAAATTGAAAATGGGGCTGCTGAGTGTTAAATGTCGTGTAATGAGTACTCTCTCTAAACTTAAGTCTAAATAATATATAACTTTAGCAATTTATAAAAATTAACATTTTAATTAATAATGACCTCCCCTGCTTTAATTTTGATGCAAGAAGAATACCCCATGTATGACCCAAAAATGTATACGAATTAAAGATAATATTAAGAGAAAAAATCCAATGAATAAAATAAAAAATTAACTAAAGGTTAATTTATTCCCATCTATAATATTTACTGTATCATATTTATTTCCTTAATATTGTTACTTTTTAAAAATGTAGCGCTATAAATAGAATCAGTATTAAAAACAACCAATGAAATCAAAAGGAGTGATTCTTCAAATAACCCAGGAGCGCTTTTGTAACACTAGGCTTAACAAGATAATACACTAAACCAGTGTTTCTTCCAGACTTTTTTCTCCGGGGGGGGGGGGGGCACTTGAAATCTTCGGGGGGGGGGGGGGCGGTAAACTTTCTTCGGGGGGGGGGGGGGCGGACACTGTTAAAAGTATATATTTTCTATATAAATTATATAAATTTCATTTCGTTCGGGGGGGGGGGGGGGCGGTAAAAAAATTTCGGGGGGGCTTCGCCCCCCCCCCCCCGAAGAGATGCCTGGAAGAAACTCTGCACTAAACTAGACATAGAATCTATGCGGTACGTAGAAAATCTAGATTTCTAGTCTAGATCTGCCTAACTAGAGGTCTAGAGAATCTAGACTCCACCAAGAAGGAAGTTTTTTAATAAGTAGCCTAATTTATTAATACTTAAAAATCTAAATTTACGAATCTTGGTCTAGAATCTAACAAACACAACACTCATAACATAAACACAGTTTAAATGCAATCATAAAGGCGTATTGCTCACAGTCTAGCCCGTAGTTCTAAATTGCGCCCTTTCCGAGCACCGGCGGACGCGTCTGACACAGTGAATGACTACAAAACAGAGGCGTAGCGACCCTTTCCGGCGCCCGGGGACAAACTTACGATTTGCACCCCCTCCCGTCAAAATTTCAATTTCCACCCCACCCCCTTAAGCTTTTGATTTGCATGCCCCTACCTAGGACTTTCGATTTCCACCCCCCCCCCCCCCGCAAATTTATTTCCAACCCACTTTGGCGCCCCCTAAGGTCGGCACCCGGGGACATATATCCGTCCCTCGCTACGCCTCTCCTATAAAACCCCCAGCTTGTCCGCAAACTGAAAGATAGAATACTAATAAATAATATACCTAACAATCCGCATCCGCACAATTTGTATTCACATTTTGCTAATTATATTATTGCAACACTAATTCCTTCTAGGAGTTCCGTAGGTTTGCATTCACGTGTTTTTTATTAGTGTAAGTTTAATTTATTTCTAAATTATCTCCCTTGTCAAAGTTAGAAAAAGAGTTAAATTAATTTGATTTTTCTACCCTACTGTTATTACGTTATTAAAATGTTTCCACCTTTTCAAAGCATAAAAAAGAAAATAATATTTGGCATTAATCTTTCTAATATGTTTTAGCAGTTTGCGTGTTTTTAATATTTTCTTTGAGTTATGCGAAAGAGAAAAAACAGTGGCATTTATAAAATAACCTTATGCCGTTATATAAACAAACTCTACTCTGTTACTGATAGTAATAAAATTTGAACAGAGTTATGCTCCCTTAACGTCCGCTATGTTTGATTAGTTCTTGAGTGTCCCATTGGGCACTAACCCCGGAGATGAAACTACGTCATGAACGGTTCGCTGTGGGTGTTTCACTTTTATAGTACTTACAGGTTTACGACGATCGTTATTGTAACGGGTAAATGATGGCTGCCAAGCATCTTCCGCTGTATCGTGTACAAAGGTATGGTGTACACGATACCAGTTGAGGTCCTTGGTATTGTACATCTCGCAAAGATTCAATAACGGGCGTGTAAGCTTGTGAGTAGAACACCCACAGACCATGGCGGGCCACAAATGGCGTCGTTGCACACACCGGGCATATTTAAACTAGACTACCCGTCATCCGTTGGATAACTGTGGGTTTCGGGGGTCATCCATCAAAAAACATATCACGTCTGTCACTCATAAATAAATAATGTTTTAAAAGAACTAATAGTTCAAAATCACGAAAATCCCAAGAAAAAAATACTGAGTCACACCATAGAAAGTAATGTAGTAATGTAGATCCTGAAATATTTACAGTATTTCAATTGCAGTAATTTGCAACGTTTAAAGACAAACATTGGTATATTTTAAGAAAGAGAAAATGCTGTCACACTTAACAGATCTGGTATATTTTGGCTTCATGACAAAATTGAGAGTATGATGTCAATTGAGAATCATTCCTTTTCCTTTAGAGTTAATAAGAACTACTATTAAATATTTAAAAAAATATGTTAAAAAAATGAATCATTTTTATGAATAAAAAAAAAGAACGACCCACTATTATAAATTTAATAATGGCTACGGCCAAATTACATGTTAGGTGAAGGGGAAAACTGAAACATCTATAAAAAGACAAATACTATTTAGAAGAAGAGATCATATCTCTCATGAATAAATAAAATTGTTTTTAACCAACTTCTTTAAAAGGAAATTTAAAACATGTAAAATCACAAAATTATTTGCAAAAACAATTTTATTTGAGAAATAGTAATTTAAAATAAAATTAGTTTTACATAATAAGTTCAAGTATCAGAATCACAGAATGTTGTTACGTCAGGAATGTAGGACATTTTTTCCAAAAAATTTTGTTTTCACAAAACAGGAACAAACGATAAAATCAGTAGCGTACGCAGGGGGGGGGAGCAGGGGGAGCGGCTGTAAATCACAAGATTTCTTTTCATGGAGCAATTAAGCATTGTTGTACTAGTCTAGTAGTGTCTACGTTTACAACACGTATTAACAGCTGCATCAGTTTGCCATTCTAAAAATAACCATTACGACGCATTGCAACGTTTAAATAGCCTCTACGGGTAGTACCATTTGGCAAGAGGGGTGTTAAGTTTAAAGCAACTGTATAATGTATTTGTTTACGAATAATTGAAAATAGAAATTTTTATACATAAAACTTCAAAAATAATTACTTTATATATATATACAGTTTGAATCGTGTGATTAATTTAAAAAAAAATACAATACAGAAACAAATACAACTGATGTGGCACCTCTTTTTAAACGTCATCACGATGAAGTAGTAGTATTCTTACAGTTTGGGCGATAGTGATTACGATTCAAAATTATATGAAACAGTTACAACCCCCCTCCCCCATGGACCCCTCTGTAAAAAAAATATTGTCATAATACCACTGCTACTTATTTAAATCTATTTCTGTAATATATATTTGTGTAATATATATTTGTGTAATATATATGTATGTTTAGAACAGTCATTAAGGCGGCGGCCTTAACGGGGCTTCGGAATAATGCCACTGGTCCGACCAAACTCATGTCCCCCCTAGTGGGTGCGGAATGGCCAGTGGCAGATAACAGCAGCTAGAGGGTTTTGATCTGGCGGAAGGCCCCCCACGATCAAGCTGGGTACCAGGCGGTAGGACGACGTCCCGCGTCTGGTGGGTGGGGAAGGAAAGCCCGTTGAGAGCCCACGGAAGTAGCGACCAAGGTGTGGGAAACTCTCTCGGGGTTTGCCACACTGAGGCCTGCCTGGCTAATGGAAGTGAACCTTCTGAGCCGGTTTCCGTATAAGGAAGGAAGGAAGAACAGTCATCTAAAAACTGACGTTATGTTCACTCTGAGTTGGTTATCTCCTCCCCCCTCCCCACACCTCACCACTACAATTGTGTAGAGCGACATTAATGTCACACCTAGGTATACAATGGGTCGGATAATTAACCTAAAGTGACCGGA